TGGGGTAAAGCATCGCTGTTTTATCATACTAGATACATTTGAAAGTTCTGTTATAATGCTACTCTGTGCGGTTGTCACCTGTGTAATAAAACGCATAACATATCAAAGCGTCTTTGGTGTTTACATGTTTTCTACAAAACAAAACCAGAAATCGAGGGTGTATGACGTGATTGGCCGGTGACGCAATGACCAGGGACGAGCCACTATTTAAAATGGCTATTTCTCTGGATTTAAACATTCTTCAAAACATTCGGGATAATGAAAGTACACAAGTCAGATAAATATATAACACTGTTCTAGTGATATTTTAATAAAAAAATCTTACATATTGTGCCTTTAATAGTTTTAATTATAGGCCTATAATTCATTGTATAATAAACCTGTTTTGAAAGACCTTTTTAAAATCATTTTCAATGAGGAGTAAGCTAATAGTTGGATCTTTTATTATCCTCACAGTGCATCAGTTATGCGGTAATGTGCTATGAAATTATTGCGGGGGAAATTAATTGTAATATTAATTTAATAATAAAAGTAACCTAATAATAATAAGAATGTAACAGGCCTACATTAGCTGGAAATGCCAAATGCTCTTAAATTTGCCAATATTTGATGCTTTTGACAATATCTCTGGCTATCGTCGATACATGATCATCGTCTTTTGACGTACCCCAGCACGGAGAGGTTAACGCGGTGGCCCCCTCACAGTGCGTGCCTGTCCGCTACGCTACTGTGTGCATCTTGATGCCAGGGGATTCACATAACTGTCTTGAAACCAATGCAAAACCTAAGTGGGGAAAAATTCCTGATTGCATGGTTCCTATTGAAATTACTACATTTCACCTGTGAAAAGTGGCCAAACAATGGTACAGTAAATGTGACCGCAACTGTAGTCTGGCAGAGACAGAACTTTTAAAGTGCATGTAAACTCACTTAGTGTGAGGCAATTTAAGATGTTAATTTACCTGGTCTCGAAACAGCAGGTGAGCTGGTACCACACAGGGCTCGGCCAGGACCCGGGCCAGCCTGCAGACTAGACTGGTAAAGTGAGTCCAATTCAGAGAGTTCCTGGTCCTCGGCCTCTGTGGGTTCCAACTCCATGCTCTGGAAGTTTGAGTACTTAGGGATGTTCTTCTTCCTGGTGCTCATGGGAATGTGAGGAGCAAGGTGTCTTCCAGGTGTGTGTTGAGAGAGGGCAGGTCCTGTTTGCTGGTTCTGATCAGGAGGTGTGTCATAGGGGTTGACAACAGCATCAGGACGGTCTAGGCTCCAAGAGGACCAATGACGGGCAGCAACTGGAGGGGTCAATTTGGTGCAGGGCTGGGAAGATGCACACAGGGGTTGCCATATGGGGGCTCTTCGGGGCACTGGCCCCTTCTCCTCAACAGGGATGGGTGGTGGACTGGGATTGCTGGATTGGGGTATCTGGTCTGGACTATCTGCAGTGCCCTGCCACAAAGGAGGATTTGGAGATTGAGGGTGCTGACAGCTGGAGACCTCTTCGTCCTCTCCCAATACACCCCAGAAGTCAAGGGGCAAAGAGGGCAGAGATATGGCAAGGTGCTTGCGTATGGGCATGATCCGAATGCCTGATGCTTGGAGAACATCTGATAATCTGATGCCACCCCATTCGTCCTCATTCTGGGTTGTCCAATTGTTGTGTTCATCACGCTCTTGGGGCTGTGGCTGAGAAGAGGCAGGCCGGGGATTGAGCGATGGGCGGCTAGAAGGCTGAGATGGGGAGTTTGTACAAGAGGAGGGTGATTTCATGTGTTGAGGAGAGGGTGGGCCAAGCACAGAATCCTGATTGGTCTCCCAGACCTCTTCCTGATTGGCTGTCAACAATACTTGGACCGGGCCAGGCTGTTCACTGAAGAGGCAAGAAAAGCAAGAGAAGGGTTTTGGTTAGACACTCTCTGAAAAATGAACATGGTTATCTGAAATTAGTACAGTCCCATTCAACATTATCACTCAATTAATGTCACTAATTAAATTATGGCAAAATTTATTTATTTAATGGCATGATTATATGAATTATTTGAAAAATGTAATTAAATTAATTAACTTTGTTTAACATTATGTTTTGTAATTAAAACATTAAGGACTAAAATGCCTTCACACCAGTATTGTTATTGTTAAACAAATTATTTATAATCTTTTTATTTGTTGAAATAAAGCTGAAGTAAAATAAAATATCAACATTTCATGAAAAACTTCAAATTAAAAATGAAAACCTATGCTGAATTACAACTTTGATGCTATTATTTCCTTGTGCATATAAATGTGTACTTGTGTATGCTGAAAGGTTTAACTTTTTATAGGAAGCCACATATATATTTTATATAAATATATTTTATATTACCAAAAATATGCAGTATGTATTCATTCGTTAAGGCAGACTAAACATAAAATAAGCAAGAAACCAAGAGTTCTAACAGGTCTTTGATAAGATCAGTTGGTGTTATATTTGTAAATCAATACTCATTCATTCATTTCAAAATATTCATTTATTTCAATGTCCAATCATACCCGAACAAATGGTTTTGTTGCAAGAAACCCAATCTAACACATTTTCTAACTCAAAAAGTTAAAGGGGTCATATGATGCGATTTCAAGTTTTCGCGATTATGGTAAGGGGCGTTACATTTCCGACGAGTGCTTGCGGTGTTCGGCCAATCACAATGCACTGGGTCAGCTGGCCAATCAGAGCAGACTGCGCTTGTCGGAAGGAGGGACTTTGTAGAAAACGAAGCGTTTGAGAGAGGCGGGGCATAGAGGACCTACAATAATGTACAGTATTTGAAAAATAATGTGTTTTTTGAACATTAAAGCATGTCAACATATTATGTTACACCAAATACACAAAATAATGATCTTTAAAAAAGCATCATATGACCCCTTTAACAATGCTGCCAAGGACCAAATTCAAGGAGACCTGCGTCCTTCACACCAGTATTCATGAGCCACTTCTCATACAATGCACACACACACAGTCCCCGCGTGCTTTCCACAGCTGACGCACTACGTGACCTTGACATAATTTTCATAGTCGTCATATAAACCAGAGTTACAGCAGCCATAAATATGCCCAAAAGCTCCCCAGAAGTGGAGTGCATGGGAATGAGCATTGGCTTTGCTCCAGAAGGGAAACCTGCTCGCTATTTGCATTCACCTCTAATAAAGCAGAGCAGAGTATCCATCAGAATACCATCAATCCTCCTTAATCTCTACTGGCCCTCAGCGACCCACCGATGACCCGTGTGATAGATTCATTGTCAGATAAATCTTTATCTAATACCAGTAAAAAGCCTCTGGAAGATGCAAACACACAATCCTCAGTGTTTTTATTGCATTGTGCAGTGAATGCATTGTGCAGTGAAAATATTTTATAGGTTTAAAAAAAAAAAGCTAAACTGAACTGAACATCTTTCACAGTGCCCCCAGGAATCTGCTTACAGTATGTACCCCAGGACAGTCCTGACTGGGAATCACTGGTTTAGAGAAGCAGTACTAGGTGATAGGTGGTTCCTGGCGGCTGCTGCATGCCCTAGAGTGGGTATAGAGGGAACTGAAGTGGGAGAAATTTCGGTACAGAGGTAAACATCCCCGATTAATGTGCTGGAGTGCTCATTTACTGTAAATACTTCCTCAAGAACTACATTGGGTAATTACCCAAGGGGCTTTGGCCAGGTCAGGCCATACATCACATCAACACCTTTAATCAATGGAGGGGAAAGAGAAAGCAGGGAACAAGAAAAAACAAATAAAACAACCGCATTCCATGGGACACACTGCCGCAGTGGCTGTTGCTTTGTTCTACTTTATTAGTAAAGTGGCATGCCATGTGTATGTAATATCGGGGGGTAGCCATTCGCTAGCTTGGGTTTGCCAATAACTCAGCCGACTGCACCCAGGCTTCTAATATTTGGTCTTATCGGGAATCTATAACACCCGTCCCATCTGTATGTGTGATTTTAAATGAGAAATTAACCTCTAAAATCTCTGGAAAACAAACAACAAAACCCAAAGCAACCACAGCTCATTGTGAGAGTAAAATGTCAGCTTGCATTCTGACAAACTGATCAGTTAGATCAGAAGTGATCAGAAGTGAGAACTGCATCACAATCACAGAAATATAACAGAAAACACAGCTTTTTCTCATTACCACTTTACAAAAGTCCAATATAACTATAATTCTTCCTAATAACATTTTTTTTTACAGAAACATGGGTTGGCTTTAAGACCAAAATCTTGACTTCGGTACGATACCAGCCTTGGTACCTCAGTATCTATAAAAACAGATGTTAGGTAGACTACTATATTATGCATGACAGATTTGCATATCATGTAAATGAAAAATTTACTAATAACTGAATTGACCATGAAATCTGTTAGATAAGTTATATTTTTAAATCAAGCAATGTCATGGAATTAACAACATATAAAACATATATTTGTATTTGAAAATAAATCTATATTAATATAAATCTATAAATCTTATTAAATCTAAATATTCTGATGCATGAAGATAATGTATCAAACTAAGAAAAATAACAGTTAACATATTTTGCTAACATGCATAAATTCAGTCTTGCATAAATTTTGAGATGGTCTATTGGTATTATTATACTAACAATTAGTTATAATAATTTATTCATACATTTCATAATCAATACATTTATTTTTGATTCTCAAATAATGCATCAGTGCATTTGAACACCATTATACATCAACTCTACTTTCATGTTTCAAGTCAAAAATTACGTTTGTATGCTGGTATTGTACTGTTTTAAATTTTTTGGTACTGCAGTCCTGATTATGCATCGGTATACCACACAACCCTAACAGACCCAGGGGTCTGAGAGAGTACTGATCTAAACAAGCGGTTAAGCTGGACACACAGGGTTACAGTACAGGTACCTGGTGGGGCCCTGTGGGCGGCTGGGCTCCTGCTGCTGCTCTTGCTGTTGCTGCATGCGCTGCTGTAGGCCCCGCGCTCTCCTCATGCATTTTTGCAGCTTGGCGTCAGCAGTCCTGCTATGAGTGTTAGCACTGCCCTCATGCATGGAAAATCTTAGTTTAGCTATAATGCAAAAGAACAACAAAAAGGGAAAGGAAAGAAGAGCAGAAGAAAAGAAAACGCAGAAAAGAAAAAGAAAGAGCTGAGTTATGAGGGGCCGGCATGCGGACCATTTCTTTGTTATAGAAACGACAAAGTAGTGAAATTGAAAGAAAGAAGAGAGGGTGATGGTGGGATATATCCCACCTTTCACCCCAAAGCTCTAGGCTGTTCAATAGGCAAAGCTTTGCACGCTAGCTCATCAAAGTTGACACATTGTTGACTTCATGTAATGGGTCGATAACAATAGCTTGCATCAGAAGTGTCATGCCCATATGCCCATTTTGAAAAGTACACCCAAGGGAAAAAAAAACACTTTTATAATTAAAATGCAGGCATGTAAAAAAAAAAAGTCTAAATATTTCACATCTAAATTTGTTCAATCCAACTAACTTGCACATTCCACAGAAAATTCAGTCACTATGTTGCTCCAAAACATTTATTTGTCTTATACTTATCTATTAATTTATTAAATTATTTAATTTATTATTAGTTGTGCTGTCTTACTTTTTTCTCTTTAAAATGTTTTATGTTCTGACCTGTGTATTTAAAAGGTTGTTTTACAAATACAATTAATGATAATATTAATAACAACAACAACAATGATAATAATAATAATTATTATTAAAAAAATATATTTGTTATGTGGTCTTACTTTTTTCTCTTTTTAAAATGTTTTATATTCTGACTTGTATATTAAAAGGCTGTTATACAAATACAATTAATGATAATATTAACAACAACAACAACAACAATAATAATAATAATTATTATTATTATTATTATTAAAAACTAAATATTTGTTATGTGGTCTTGCTTTTTTCTCTTTAAAATGTTTTATGTTCTGACCTGTGCATCAAAAGGTTGTTATACAAATACAATTTGAATTAAAGGGTTAGTTCACCCAAAAATGACAATTAGCCCATTAATTAATCAACCTTATGACGTTCCAAACCCGT